TGCATGACAAATAAAATGAGAGATGTAGAGTTTAAAATATCATTTGCCAATGGAACTAATGGCTTGTCATAAATTTCGTGACAATGGAAGTAATGGTTTTTTGTTTGTCACGGATTTCGTGACAATGGAACTAATGGGTTTTTTGCTTGTCATGGATTTCGTGACAGTGGATCATAATCCATTATAATTTACATGTACCTCTATAAAATGAGTTGACTCCGTCCAGTTGTCGCTGTATCTCATCAAAGAACTCAGTCTGTTTGTCTTCATCAACTGGAGGAATGAGTTGATCAAGATCTGTAGAATATGAAGGAAGGAGAGAGAGAGAGAGATAAGAGTCATGGAGGTGTGGTGAAGGCGTGTCACATAAACAAAAGTTTTAAACGAAGAGGAGCTAACCGTCTTCGTCTTTCTTGGTCCAATCCTGAGAGACCATCTTGTAAACTAAAACTTTTAAAGCCTGAGGGAGAGAGAGACGGAGAGAGAGGTGAAGTAGAGTCTGTGTAACTAAAAGAAGGTCTTACATCATAATCTATGTAGTGTGCCCTCCACTCGGGGGTTAGATGAGAGAATAGAATGTGAGAGAACTTCATCTTTCATGAGCTAAAAGACAAAATTGAGCAAAAAGAGAGTTGACCTTAAACAAAATGGCGTTTAAAAGGGTTAAAAATTAGAATGTTAATCAATCCCGTGGGCGGATTGCAAGGAGAGCATTTTAAAATCAAGTGTCAAATTTTATGATTTCTTTAATGAAAGTTTAATCACAGTGTACACTTGAAAGCTACATGATATAAATATAACAGATAATAATAATAACATCAATAACTGTGCCATATAGATCTACACTACTGCTACTACACAATGGCAGCTACTGTATTAATGGTTTTCATTAATCAAAATCTGACAATAATAATGTAATCTATAGATGTGTGTGTGTGTATTTTAAAGAGATTTCTTTATTGAGTTCAATGGCTTGTTCACTTCTTCCAGTCTCCTCTGATAAGAGTGATACTGAAATAGAAATTATAAATTATACATGCAATTATGTCTATTTATAGAATCATATGAATCTATTTATAGAACTACATGTACAATGTATTCAAGTTGCTGTGTGAGATGCACTGTAGTAGGTTCATAAACTAACTGTTTCCTTCATTAATGTGATTTCATTAGTGACTTGAGTCTCTAGTTTTTCGAAAGCTTTGATCCTTTTAGAATGCTGCAAGGAAGAGAGAGAGAGAGAGGGAGGGAGGGAGGGAGGG